GTCAGAAACCTGTTTGAAAACATCAGCAAGAACCAAGGTAAAGTCTGGAGCTAAAACCAGGCAGCTGAACAGGAAATTGTGAAGGGTATTTCCACCGCCAGCTTCCCCTCGGGGCTGGGTTTTGGAAGGTTGCCCACTGGTGCTTCTCAGTTACCACTAAGCTGTTGGGGATTTTTCTCTCAACACAAACTGAACGGGTCAGTTCTTCCCGCAGAGCTGTTAGACAGACCAGCAGGCAGCCACTTGTTTAAGTCTCCAATAACGTCTTTATACCTGAATAAAGAATTACGCCGTGGTATTGGTCGCCGAGGTTTCTTGAAATCGGCCACCTTAGGGAAAGGCAGGTTGTTACTGGAGAGAAGCTGAGAACTCAGGTAAGGAAAATGTTCCTTCTGACAAAAGCGTTGAGCCCTGCGCTGGGAAGCAGTACACCAAGGGCGCTCTCCATCTGTATCTCAAGGGTGGGGGTCACGAGGATGGAGCCAGACTCTTCCCAGTGGTGCCCAGCGCCAGGACAAGGGGCCATGGGCACAAACTGAAGCACAAGAGGTTCCAGGTGAACGGGAGGAAGAACTTGTGTACTGTGAGGGTGCCCGAGCCCTGGCCCAGGCTGCCCAGGGGGGCTGTGGAGTCTCCTTCTCTGGAGATCTTCAACCCCCGCCTGGACGCTGTCCTGTGCCCCCTGCTCTGGGTGAGCCTGCTTGGGCAGGGGGGTGGCACTGGGTGAGCTCCTGAGGGCCCTGCCAACCCCTGCCATGCTGGAATTCTGTGATCTACAGGACCAACAGCAGCAAAAAAAGAGTTTTCAGGTTTCTTCTGCAAGTGTCTCTCAGCCCTCTCTAGCAGGAATTACCTCCGCTAGGCGAAATTCATCTGCCCACACTCTCCAAATTTTGGCATCTCCACCAAGACCGCAGGAGACTCATGGGCAGGCGCACAGTGAGGGAATGCGTGGGCATTAAGGTGAAGTTCACCAGTTTGTTTCAAAACATCCCAAATGAGCAACCGAGGAGCAGAACTGGCTGCTGATCTAAGTACGTACAGGTCTGTCCTAAACGCATTGGACTACTAACGCTCCAAGACTTATGAGTCCAATAAAGACACCACAGCTGCCCTCAGGATGTGAAAGTAAGGAAGATACGTAGGATACAGCAGAAGTTCTATAGCATTTAACACATTCAACAGGACCAACACGATGTGGTAAGATATTAAGCACTGGAAGGGGCTGCCCAGGGAAGGGGGCGAGGCCCCCGCCCTGGGGGGATTTAACAGCCGGGCAGAGGCGGTGCTGAGGGTCAGGGTTTGGGGGTGGGATGGCAGGGGTAGGGGAAGGGTTGGGCTGGGGGAGCTGAAAGGGCTTTGCCAACCTAAACAATTCTATGATTCTAAGGGATTGGTTTTTCACGTGTATAATACATGGGGGGTGGGTGTGTGCACCCAAAATGCAACTACTGACTGCTTCAGCATGCCAGTGAGATTCCTGGAGACCGTAACTTCGTGTCTGCTGCGTGCAACTGAGATCTTTCCAGCAGAGTCACCCCGCAATGATTTGGGAAGAGAAGTCAAACTCTGGGCATCTTAAACTACCTAGACAGAAAATCAGGTCAATTTGTGAGTCACCGTCTCCGGGGACCGAGGGATCCCCACATTACTGTTTACACACACACGCTCCCAGGACTGGCTCAGAGTTTCAGTGTTGAACTCACTCAAGGAAAACAGTCAACTTTGCCATTTTCTCTCCTTGCCCTCAAGTTATACGGAACTCCACCGTGAAGCCAAAGACCTTTGGTACGAAGTTGTGGACTTCCCAAGCATTTCTAACAAACTTAGGGACTGCTGCTGCAGAGCCTGAAGAAAAGAGGACGGATTTGTTTTCTAGGCAAGATCAGTTGGGATAGGGCAGAAGCAGCAGAGGGGGTTTGCTTTCAAGCTCTCAAAGTCTTTTAAAGACCCTCTGAATCCTCACCTTCACAAAAAATATCAAACCAGCCAACTGTCGGGCTAGGGAAAGGGTGAGATCCCAGTCCTGTAGCTAAGGCATGAGGCAGCACCAGATGCTTCAGTCGCAGGACTGCTGCGCCTCATCCATCAGTTTGCCACCCTCGAACGGGAGGGCTGGCGGAGAAGTCAATCTATCGATTAACTTTAATCAAATTTGAAAAAGAGACATCCTAACTAATTAACACACTACCACACTCCCCACAACAGGCGCTGAAAGGGATCACTGGGGATGGAGGAGGCCTGGATGATTACGGTGGGGCTGAAGTAATAAGGTATTATGTGAACCAAGGACATGAATACAATAGAAATCAAGTTTTATTAGTCCCCTAGTGAATACAACAATGCATTTCATCTTGTTACACTTTCAGTCTCGATCGCAGCTGCTAAGGAAGAGCTGCTCTAATGATATGCAAGGATTCCCCCCTTTAATCTGTTTGCAATTTGCCATTTTTCCATTTCACAGAACATCTCTATTCCACTGCGAAGTGAACAGACCCGAGTTGTCAATACAGCGTGCAACAAACGGCCCTACAGTATTATTTGAATCTAAAGACCAGACTGTGTATTATCGCACTCCCAATTCAATTTCAGCAAAACCCAAAGCGGCTCTCAGAACAGCATCAGCACAAACTTTCTGTCTACAAGTGCCTAATGAACCCAGGAGCTCACTGGCTCTGATCCCTTAAGAAGATATTTAGCTTAAGCATCTAGATTGCGAGACTAACTCTTACCTTCCTCTCCAACAAGCGCTACTCTGCGCCCGTTGATTGAATCAAGTTTTGTTACTGTGGAGATTCATGTGGTTGGATTAGATGCCTCACATTTTCATGGTCGTCTGCAAATCCTGCTTGTTTACCACACACTTCTGCTCTTTTCCAAACCATACCCTTCACATAGGTCATTTATCATAGAATCACAGAATGTTTTGGGTGGGAAGGGACCCCCAGAGGTCACCCAGCCCAACCCCCCTGCAGGAGCAGGGACACCTTGAACCACATCAGGTTGCTCACAGCCCCGTCCAACCTGGCCTGGAATG